CTTACAACAGAGATATACAGATATTGCATCTGGTATATAATTTTTAAATCACCTGGCATGGGTTATAATAGTGTATTCGGATCGCTTAATTTTTTTTTTCTACTTGTTTTATCTATTTTCATTTATTTTAGATTCTCCTTTCTTTTTTTTCTATTTGTTTCTTTTTTTCTTTTGTTTTTGTTTTCTTTTTTAGAACAATTTCTATTTTTTTTGGTTATAAGGGAGCTTTTAGAGAGTTTCTTTAAATGTATCTTCTTTCATAATGTTGGTATATATGTTAGTTTTATGTAGAAGTAGGAGGTAATATGTATAATCTGCTAGGATTTAAGTGAATTGAGTTTAAGAATATATTACCAAAATTTAAGGTAGAATAACTCAAAAGAAGAGATCAGCTCTTAAAAGAAGTCTTTCTTTTGTAAATTGGTATATATGTTTGTACTATGCAGAAGTAGGAAAAAATATATTCTGCCTAAACATTGGTGGAATAAGTCTAGAAGGAAGGTAAAATATAATCAGTTCGAACGTAGATGGCTAAGTACCAAGCTATAGCAGGTTTTTAAATACAGGTATTACTGTATGTAGAGCTTGTTGGCAACATCAGTGCAATAACTATACTTGGGCACTTTTATAGCAGCCGGGTATTTGCTTAATCCATAAAGTTAGATAGTTAGTTTTGCAAATTTTGTAAATTGCTAAAGTTTTTAATAATTAGTGCAAGGTTATCAAAGAAAAAAAAAAATAATAATAATAAATTTTTATATACTAGGAACCGGAAACCGGTGTGTGTCCAAAGCATAAATTTTAAATAAATATATCTTTATGTGTAGAACAAGTTTACTTATAGTATATAGGTAGGTTTAAGTAGTACAATTTTGTGAATTTTAATATTTTTTATAATTTTATTAATAATAAAATTATAGAAATATTAAAATCCACAAATGTTTACTAATTAAACCTATCTTTATATTCTAAGTAAACTTGGTCTATGCATAAAAATACACTATATTAATATATATTTACATTATAATTTTAAATTTTAAAAGAAAAAGATGTTTAATTTTAAATTTTGATCAAAAATTCAAAATTAAGTATCTTTTCTCTTAAATTTAAAATTTATAAGGTAAACATATACCAATACTGTGTATTTTTATGTGTAAAACAAGTTTACTTAGAGTATAAAGGTAGAATTAGATACCATATTCCTCCGAAAATAAGCACTCCCCAAAAGTAAGCACCCCCTACAATTCATATATACCCGAAAATAAGCACCTCTTATATAATGGAAATAAGTAACTAAATATCAAATCATTTAAATTATTAGTTGAGATTATACCCAAAAATAAGCAACCTTATAGCAAAAAAGGGGTGCTTATTTTCGGAGAAATACGGTAATATTCTTAAAAATATTACTAAAAAAATAGCTGTCAAACAAATTATTGTAGGGCAAGTGACATGGACCCCAGATAAATATATATCAGAAAGACCACCAGATGGGTATGGCGTAAATTCTAAAAAATTTATCCATCATGATCTTATAAACCCAACCCCTTCAGCCAGCAAAATTATAGAATCTTTAGCTAATAATCTTTATAAAAAAGTGTCAGATATGTTTTCAGCAAAGCCAGTGGAATCGAAGAAAAATATTGAAGTCGACTTTGATAAAGAACTGGCTGATTGTATAGATAAATTATCAATAAATAAAGTTTTATCAAAAGGTTTTGAGGCGGGCGTTCATGCTGTTATTAAATCATCTAAACACTGTTGTTCAAATTGTAATTGAACTGGACACAATTCTCACAAGTGTTCTAGAAAGAAAAAATTCAACTTCAAGAAATCTAGCAAGAATAAAAAAGATAAGGTTAATATAGTTACTTTAGATTTGGGTTCTAATTCAGGTTCAGATACTAATAGCTCTTCTGATGACGACTCTGGTTCTGATTCCGAGAATACCTCTTCTGAAACTGAGAGTATAAATATTAACATTACCAGGGCAAAAAAAAAGTAAACCAGAAGAGTAGTTCAAGCAAATCATTATCTAAGAAGATATTCAAATCTCACAAGATCAATAAGGAACCTAAGTCTCACAAAAGGGGTGGGAGTAAGCAAACAGTTTTAGAACAAACTATTCGTAAAATTATCCAAAGTGAACTTAAAGATATTTTACCTTCATTATTGCAGGAGCTCAATTTTAATAATGAAAAGTCATACCATATTCAAGATAATAATTATCGAGAACCAGCTCCAGAGATATCCAATTCAGATGAAAATGAGACTTTGGATGACCCTATGGAAATTGATTTTGTTTGTCAAAAAGAACCCGATACAGGTATTGCGACTATACCACGCAAAATTAAGTATTTAAAAATCCTAGCAATGATACTTGATAGTGGGCTGAAACTGAAATCATAACAGAAAATATTTCTAAGCGTATAAATGGAAAAATTGATAGATCTGTGAAGTATGACCTTAGTGGTATTGCTACTGTTCCAACTGAGTCTATTGGCATTGTTCATAATTTACCAATAACACTAACTCCTGATTGTACTATATATGAGGATTTTGTAGTTGTGAAACATTTCAAGCCAATGTTAATATTTTCAGACCGACTTCTCAAGAAATATGAATGTGTTATTGATTGGAATAATGATAAAATGAAAATTCATCACAATGGGAAGGATCACATTTTTTCTGTAACTATGCATAAGGTAAAGAATAAGCTCAAAGTAAATTACGCTACTGCGACTCAAGATAGTTCACATAATGAGGATACTATTACATCTAAGCCTTTGGTATCTAATCAAATTTCACAGAAAGTAGATAGTGATAAAGATGACAGTATACCATTGAAGAAATAGCATGCTCCTGCGGGTTTTAGCTTAGATTCTGACAATTTGACTTTAAAAAAAAATGTGTGAATTGCGAGAGATATGAGAAAGAAATGTATAATACAAACAAATTATAATCAATCTTAATGCTCTTGTTTATCACCATATTGGATTATCCGATAAAGAAAATAGAGTATAGAATGGACAAAATTCAGAGATTATGACTCATCAATTTTATATTCTGAATTTGATAAATTTTTCTTACCTTCATCTACTGCATATTTAAAACAAGCTAATGTATCTGTAGAATATAAGGGCTTTCTGTTTGTTTTTTCTGGCAAGTCTTTGGCAATAATGGGTTTGAGATTTTTTGTTTTTTTCTGCTTATTTATCTGTGTTACACTAGTCAAAAGCTGACAAATCAGGTACAAATCAGGTATGCCATATTTAAAGCTGATAACTATCTGATTGTTA